TTAAGTTGCTGCGATGGTAGACTGCGTTGGTGTAGGCCGCTCAAGTTGCTGTGAGGGATGTGTGGCTTCTGCCGCGTTTCGTTAACACGATCACAATTAATTTGTCCTAACTTCAGAAAGTAAATAGATGGAGCGAAATAATCATCCTTATTTTTTTCATTTTAGAAGACAAGGTACAACGGCAGGTGTAACAAACTGCTGCAACTTTCTCGATATTTTTTAGAGATCTTCTGATATCAAAAATAATTTGACGACAGGCAGCTGCACCAGTTGCGCTTGCGTGAGGATGACAAATATATTTTGCATGCCGGATTCATAACCTTCTCATATGGATGCTGTTGTTGGTTAAAAATTTCTAAAAATCGGTGGCGCTGACTTTTTTGGTAGATTCAAAATTTTCATTAAAATAACTGGGAATCTCATTCCTATAGCTATTTTTCGAGAGACAAGTTCATTTACGAGCCATTACGATGTCTTGGCATTGGAATACCATTCCGCCAGGTGAAAAGAGTCAATGAGTTTTTGTGGCATTTGAAAGATGGCGTAATAAACAATGCTTAAAGATGGTGGCGCTGAGCGTCGTAAAAAACCAAGCCTGACGTATCAAAGTTTCAGCCAGAGTTTAATTATAGCTTAGGCCTTCTTGCGGACACGGAATTGCCATCGTTTGATTATCAAATATAATCATGCAGCGTGCGACCATGTGTGGCTAATACTAGAGGGTTATCGGGTGAAATGAATATTGCGTGAAAGTGGAACATTTTATGAGGGGCTGTACAAGCTCTACAAATTGTTACTGTATATTATGAAAATTGTTGAAATAGTATGATTTGTTGAAATAGTACGCTTTCATAAATTCAAAAAGCCCTGTTTCGTAGCCAAGTGTTGAATATACCACATCATCTAAGAGGAAAGGTGTGATGGAAGCGTAACTATTTCTCAACAACTAAATATTCGCCTATCTGAAAAGACGTACATGTACACGAATCGATAATAGAGGTCGATTGACGTGATAAAATCTATTACGTGCGCTCTAATTCACGTCAATTCACGTGCGCTCTAATTCACGTGCGCTCAATTAAATTTTATGGAATTGAAAATGAAAAATTGAAAATGAAATTTTATGAAATTGAACGAGAAAATGAATTAGACGTCTGCTGCAAGTCAGGCTATCAATTTTTGTGTTTAATTAAGCACCAGGTTATAAAAGTGTTCACAGAGTGCAAACGGAAACTGGCGAGAGAGCCAACACTGCAGGGCTTCGTGGACGTCTACACAAACGTGCTTCTCCACTCCCACGTTGTGATGTTGCACATGGAAGAGGCTTGCCCATTGAGAGGTCTGGGTCTTCTCCACTCCCACGTTGTGATGTTGCACATGGAAGAGGCTTGCCCATTGAGAGGTCTGGGTCTTCTCCACTCCCGCGTTGTGATGTTGCACTGGAAGCGACTTGCCCATTGAGAGGTCTGGGTCTCTCGACAACGACGTTTCCACAAAGTTTATAACGACTAATGTTCTGGAGTTTTTGGGAAAAAGTTATTTCCGGTGAAAAGTGAGAATTTTATGCATGTTAAGCGAAAAATTTAAAATTCTTAGCTACATTGCGGCAGCAAAATCAATCAACTCAGTGCTTGTCAACATTTACTTGTCTGCGACCCTTGGACACTTCATTTTTTACGAACGCACACTTTTTGAAGTTATTGCGCAAAAATCTACGCGGAGCGTCATAGGAAGAAACATTACATATATAAAAGCAAAAGATAGGAATATAAAAAGGAATATATAAGAAAATATTATAGACCTTACCGATTTTGAACAGTTTAAAAAGTATAAGTACTACGTTGGAGCTGATTGCTCTTTGCAAGATCGTCCTATTATTATGTCTTCTATCGAAAGAAAGAATGTTTATCGTTCATTGTTTTTAACATTCTCATCGAATACAATCTGCTCAAATCGTATCAGCCGAATTGTGTCGATCTACTATTTGGTAGTCGAAGTTTTTTCTGTGATTGTATCGCATAATATTTCTTCCCTATCGCTTGCAATTTTGTCCTTTCTTCTTTGTACGATGCGTAAATGCTCTAATATTTGAACATGAAGAAAGACAGTATATATACGCACGCCCTCTCAACTGCATGGCAACATATCAGTTGCTTGCAAATTGTGCAATGTTTCATTGACCAAGCATTGTAGGATTTTCGAGATTTTTCATCAAATCATTCATTTCACTGTGTATTCAAGTGTTAGGATACGTATTGAAGAATTATTTAAAGGTTAAGTTAAACCTCTCATCTCACCTTTCCTTCCTTTCTCTCTATATATCGTGCTATCAGTTTTTTATTTTGAATTCTCAATCGCTGTCGGCAGCGTTTTAAAACCTCTTATAATCTGTTCGTCGGCTTCTTGGTGCTGCGTTATCATTCAATGTTTGCGAAATCAGTGCCAATGCACTATTTTCTTCGTTACCATTTACGTTCATGCAGATGTGTTACTATATGTATTCTTAGTTCGACTAAACTAAAAATGAATAAAATCACTTTAAAAGTCGAAATTCAATAGACAGACATAAAACCTAAATAGGACCTAACATTATATCGAAATAAACAGGACTAGATTGGAACAACTTAGTCCTAGGGGTACGACAAGAATATAAAATTCTAGCGATTTACTATTTCCAGATTGTATGAACGAAAGTACTAAACGCATTATTGAGACACGGTTTTCGTTTGAAGATACGTATAGAGACTCCAAAATTCTCAAATCCGAGCAGCCAGAAGTGGAACCGAGTATCCTGAAATCACTCTCAGATACAGCCTCAGCATGGAGGCGCACAGAAGAATGAGGAGGCTTGGCGAGAGGCAAGTTAAACGATAGCTCCTGCCACGGTGTTCAAAAACCTGGATGTAGAAGTTAAGCGACGTCATTCCAACGTACGTAGATGCACAGCGTGCACAACAGAACTCACAGACCAGGTTTGATCGCATCCGAGCAGGAATAACGTCCTTATACCTGAAGAAAGAACCAATTTTGAAATTATTCACCAGTAAAACATGCAAATTTATATTCGGGAAATATTTCAAACACAACATCTTTCGTTCTTTGGACATAGTTTCAAACGCACTACCAAAATAGGGCAATGTGCAATAAATAATTTTGCCCCTTTGTCCCTAGGACTAAGTTGTTCCAATCTAGTCCTGTTTATTTCGATATAATGTTAGGTCTTGTTTAGGTTTTATGTCTGTCTATTGAATTTTTACTTTTAAAGTGATTTTATTCATTTTTAGTTTAGTCGAACTGATGATGGAGCTGGACTTCAAAACGTTTTTAATATCAATATGGTGAATTTTCTTGGCGTTTTTTAAATTCCTTGTGAACTTGCAATATAAGCAGATTAATAATATAAGTACTTATATGTATTCCCAGATGTGTTACCCTTCATTGAGGGTAGCCCATTTGTTCTACTTGTATGTGTGCTAACTGAGTTGTTTCAACGGAAAATTGATTCAATTATTTTGTAAAAAACAGTTTGCGCCGACATATAGCAGTTACAAGGCAATTAGGATAGGTTAGGTTAGCGCTGTTAATGTTTGGGCGAAGAAGGATTGAAATACTCAAGTTGCCACTTGCAACGCACTGGGCTGACCATTTGGAACCCACAGTTTCTAAAGCATGTGTCAGTATCAATGATTTGAACCCGAGTCATCACTGCAGTTAAGTTCACGACCAGCAACTAAGACGACGCATTAGCAGGACCTTTTTGAATCCATAAGTCATTATAACGTATGTCGCATCAACGATTTTAACCTACGCCATATATCGCAGCTCAGCTCACGACCAGCAAAAACCTCATAAGCCTAGCTTTCATGCTGTTGCCCGCAGTTCGTTCGTGCCAGCACCATTTATCTGTTTGCACTTGAATTTCTCATTCCATAAAGTTAGACGAAGAGCTGAGCTTGGCTTCAGCTACGCTTTCTGCGTCTGTTGTTTTGACTCGTAGTATAAAATTTATTTCCTGGTATGCGCCTCGAATAGTTTTCTAGCAGTAGAAATCTTTTTATAAACAATAAAGTTGTGCCTTGACAGCTGAAAATTTCATGCCTTGCCCACTTTTTTTATTCCAAATTTCCTGGAAGATTAAGATCAAGTCGAGCTTGAATTAGCAAGGAGAATAATCGCGCACATTGGCGGACAACTATGGAAAACATCAAAATTCATGCGAGAATTGAATATACGTTTTGACTGACGAACAAGCGATTCAGTGTTGGAATAGTTACGCTCTTTGAGAGGTAAAGCCACTCCGATTTCTTTCGGTGGCCAGGATTAGCGTATCTGTGTTTTGGTTTGCTTCCAACGAATACGTTCACGTGAATAAGGTTAAAAATACACCAGACATGTCCGTACAAAATTATTTACTATAAACAGCAGAGGAGTGCGTCCTTGAACAGCGCTTCATGATTAATTAATCTTAAGTTATAGATTGAGAGTAAAATGCCCCTTTATGCTACGAAAATGCTTAAAACCCTGTGAACAGAGAAAAAAAAAGACATATTTGAGGCCATGAAAATCGAGAGTTGTTGACAGAATTACTTGTGTACTTGACCATTTTCATTAGAATGAGGAAATTATCCAAAATAAATGTAGGTAGGAAATATTTAAAGTGAAATAACATAATAAAATGACGGAATAGCTTCATCGTTTCTAACCATGACCACCACACGCTCGGACTACAACTCCGTTTCCCACACATAAGACGACATAAGGCGAGCAATACATTCTATTCAACCATACAAGAACTAATTTTCAATGTCACTAGATTGCTTGAATCGAAGAAAACTCCACAAAAATTATGTATTTATGTATTGAATAAATAGGTATTTCTGTATTATTCTGCCCTTTGCCTGTAAATTTAGGTTTTAACTTCTGTTTTTTTTTTTCTTTTGACTCCAAACATTATTAATTTTCTGACTGTATATGTGTTCTAGATTTATCAAACTGACGATGGAGCTGGTCTCCGAAACATTTTCAATAGAGAAATGCTAATTATTAATGTTACGGTAAGAGGACTATAGCATTAGCTACACAAGAGGATAGGACGCAGCAGAAGCTATACCGCACATGTTTTGGGCATTGCGCAAAAATTTCATGTATCCCTTTTCTCCCCAATGCTCGCTCCACTCGTTCTTCAGGAGCCAAAAGTCTGAGCCGTTCTCTGTTCCGTAGCCCACAACCAGCAAGCCGTGGTCTATGTACTGGCTTTCGCATAACCCATCGACGTAGATACCTGCGAATTTAGACACAATTTAAAAATACATCATAAGGGATTAAGCAACAGACATACTCGCCCATCAATCATCAACTGCTAATAAGAAACTCATTTTGTCACTAACGATCAATTCTGGCGGTAACTGTATGTACCTCAAAGTCAGTTTTACAGATGTGATTGTTTTACAGTTTGATTAGGCACAGGATCAAACATTTGTTGGCACAATTGAAACTTTCATTTCTACGCCTCCAATGTCCCTTCAATAACAGACAACAAATCGAAGAGAAACGTTACCCAAATGACGCAAAGATATATAAATTAGGAGCTAGCCTGATTAACCGGGATCTCCAGAGAAGCCAATTTGAACTTTCCAGACTAAAAATTGCTGACATCGGAAAGGTGACCACGTATGGCATAATTATTAGCAGTGAATTATCACCTGAGCTATAGAATTGGAATTCGTCGCTGGATGCGTCTACAGCAACAGACACAGGACCCACGGTGGCCACGGCTGCCTTCAGCGCATCCTCGTCGTTGCTTTTGATGTCCACGAAGCCTGTGTCTTCGGCGCCGACGTCATCCCTCTTGAACTTGCAATCACCATCCTGTTCATGAGTTTATTTATGATATAATTTGATTTCCAGCTTCACATAAACTTTAAATATTAAATGACACACATATTGTCAACTTTCTATGATATCATTTGAAGTTAATAATATTATTAATAAATAATTGATATTAAAAATATCTATCGACAATCATGTCCGAGGAAAGTACAATTTACGGTTTGATCATGATACCGGCGCTCGACCTATTCAAGCACACAAATAGAATTACGGACTCACCACGGCTGTGTATGGATATGATTCCTCGGTGTCGATGCCGCCGTTATCTTTTATGTATCGGAAAGCGAACTCCATGAGTCCGCCATTGCAGCCCTCGTTACCGTAGTGGCCCGAACAGTCCACCAGGTTCTGTTCAGACAGACTCACCAGCTGGCCCGTCTTGAGGAAGTGCTGGCCTTCCAATGATCCCGTCTAGTATAAGAAGAGATACAGGTACAATTATCGAACAATAAACCTACAAAGCGTTAGCGTGAATAAGTCTGTTAAGACTGGATACAAACTAGTTTGACATCACCCTTTGTTTCATACTATTGATAACTTTTCTTGATAGTCATCTCATATCACTCAAAGAATTATCCTTATATCATATACGACATTTTAACCAATATGCTTCCTAGACGGAAATTCTACCGTAAAATAATGAACCTGTATAACTTTGAATAAAAATTAAGATCTTTCTGAAACTTAACGTGTGATTAGCCTCAATCTAGTAGGCGAACACTCCAGACATGGGACCGATTATCGCAAAGCCGAAATATTTTCTAACTCATATAACCGGAAATTTTGTAAAACATTTCAAATACGAGTAAGTGTAATTTCAAGTCTGATATGTGGATGGTAACTCCAGAAAAAATGACCACATCGCGATTACCTTAAAGTATAAAAAAGGTGTGTTTTTTATGTGGCTTGACGTTTGGCGGAGAAAGTTTATATTAATTTATAGTTCCAAATACGATTTTGGCAGCTAAAAAATTCCCAATTAGTTTATAAATTTTTAATTTAAATAAGTGTATTTATTAGCTATACTGACGTACCGCGGAGAAAGCCCAGCACGAGCCACATTGGCCCTGGCTCTTGATGGGAGTGACGGCCCCCTTGGTGCGCCAGTCCACGGAATCGGGGAGCTTCACGTCGCTGTCGGGCGCCACGAAGCGCGATGCCCCGTAGGTTCTGTTCATGCTATTGCCTCGATAGCCGTTCATCGTGTGCACGAACTCGTTATGCAGCTGCGAAGAAGTTCGATGAAATTAGAAGTTCGATGCTGCATATAATGCAGTGTTTTAGGCATAGAAGGAAACTGGGCTGAAATACCGCGTTAATAGAGAAACATATATATCCTTATTGTTTAAGCTTACTTGTGAATGGTTCGAATATACGATCATATCGCAGAGGTATTATTATGTCATAATTGTACTCCATGTCTCATAGAACGTTACTAACGTAGAAAGCGATCGATGGGAGTAAATTATTAAACTGGAAAACAATTATCAAGGCGTCATTGAACCAAATTAGCTAAACGTACATTATTTAGATAATCATTGAAAGTAGCTTAGCCGTCCTGTATTTATGAAGTATTGTCAAAGGACATTTACAGGGTGATAGTTCAACAGATGATAACTTTTCACCGGTTCATAATTCAATCAAATAATTTTGACGAAGACCAAAGTTCTTCACATTGAATGCAAGAACATTTGCGAACAGTCACAAAAACCTAATGCAACGCAGTTATATGAACTCACCATATCTCCAAAGTGATTCATCTTCAAGTCGTATGTGCGCTCTCCTTTGTTGTACAGTTGGTTGTGTCTGTCAATCTTCATCTTGTTCTCGGCAAAGACTTTCAGGCGGAAGGCCTCTTCCACGGGCTCATACTTCTTGTTGTAGACGAGCTGAGGGAGGAAAACTTTGCACTTGTTTGTTGTGTTCAGGAGTGTGCTATGTATAATACTTCAACTGGTTGCTCGCATCACCAATCAATTTAAATTTCGAAGCCAAGAAGCATGCCAAATATATTAGATTTTAATGAAAATGCTACCTTGACGCAGCTCCAATGTCTGTTCGTGTGGTGACAAAGGAAATATAGAATTTTTGCTGCAATTTAGTTTGTCATATAAATCTCTCTTATTGTACTTGACATGTGAAACTTACGAACTGGAGAGAGAAGGTGCAACATTTCTCAACATTGAAAAGAATGCCTTAAGGAATCACAGCAAGTCTACACGAATTCTTGATACCTTGAATGACTCCCATTCCTCCTTGACTTGGTCGTAATAAGAGGCAGCACAGGCAGCAGCGGCCAAGCCCAGGAGCAGCACCACCAAACGCATCTGCAATCCAAATCCAGACTTGTTTTTATGCCAATTACATATAATTCAGGGAGCACTTAATTTTTTCCGCGACTACAATTTTATTTAAATTTGAATTGTGGAATTGTCGCCACTCGTACGCCCACCGTCTCCAGGGTATCAAGACTCATCGCAGAAAAACTGGATGGTCTCTTGCCGGCACAAAATCCCCCTATATACATTTAGGCACAGCTGTGAAGACAGACCGATATGTTCGGTATATGAAGTATCTAATTGATATATAGTTTTTTATGATTAGAATAAGCGTTGGTGCGAATGATGTAGTGTAAAGCAATACATGACGCACCTACGATCTTGTATTATATGTTATATAAATTTTATGTATGTGAGCCTTGAGGAACATTAATTTAGAGCCAACAACTCAGAACAGCGGGCAATGTTTTCTGATAGGGGAAATTTTGATTAATACTCTCTGACAATAACAAATCGTTCTAATTAAAATGCTAAGGATAATGAGAAGTTTAAACTGAAATAACTTATTATGTATTGGGCATCATACCTTTGGCAAAAGTCGAGAAGTTTGGAACTTAGAAGACGAGATGATACCAATTACTTTCAGTTCACGCAATCGGAAGCTGATCGTCGACTATCCCTGCACCGGCATTTGCTTTGTGACGGTAGGCAGCGTCGAAGCTCTATTTATATCACTCGTTAGGCATAGCAGCTGACCTGCAGTTGGGCAGAGGCAGACTATCGTTACAATCTAAACAAAGGAAAATTTCCCGCAGTATTTCCGACCCTCTGTACACAGTCCGGGCGCGTTTCAGCAATAACACAAATTATTTTTTTTTCAAAATTGGAGGCAACTTCGTGCACTGCCACTATGGTGTCAGACGTCAAGTGTAGATTTTGTTTATGGTAATCCTATTTTTTCGGAGGAATAAAATATCATTGTTGGAATAATATATTTTTATAACCTCGTTCTGCTTATAAGTTATAACACGTAACCTGATTTTTTATTGGTAATATGGTTTTACATCTTAAATGTTCATTATGTTAATAAGATACAATATTTGTTAAATTGAATTTCATAAAACATTATCGAGTTTTGATTATGAACATGAAATCAATATACGAATGAGATTGTCCAACATTTTCTTATCATTCATTGTAATCTAATATCCTCTCGACCTGACAACATAATAAAAAAATCTCGCGACAATATCCAAAGAGTTGAATGTAGCAACATAGAAAAATAACTGCGCTGGTACGCCAATAAATGTTATCAATATTACTGCCTATGCTATCTATATATTTATATTAAAAGTAATTCAAATATGCAATAACAGTCCTAGTGGTAAGTGGTAAAGGTGATGTGTGGGTTGGCCGCAAGGAGCAGCTGTGGCTGTGATTGAGAAGGCAAAGTTAAATTTGCTGGGTGTGTAAAAGTTGAGAGAGTCAAGCAGGATGCAGGAATTGAACGTTGCCTATCGGAGAAGAAAATTACAAAAAATATTAATTTGAATATATCAATTGCAGATATATATCCCTTTTTTGCTTTAAGTGGTGGGTCACATTTGTCTGATTGAATTTATTTTTGTAGATAATTTAATGCAAATGGTGCTCGTTACTATGGTAAAAACAGTATACCCTTGAAAACACCGCTCTTCACAAATAAATATATTTCAGCCCCTAAAAGTTGGCTTGATTGTATTTTTCGAATATATTACATCAAGCGACGTGGATAGCAGAAGCGAAGGTCGGAACAGAGGCCTCCAAGACACCAATTTCAACAATCGAAGAGAAGGCAAGAAAATACCACCTTCACTATAGACACCATGTTCTATTGATATGGAAGCAATTATTGGTACAAATTAAAGAAAATCATTGGTTACACGTCTTCTACAGTTAGTTTCATGTGGCTACCCATGCTTTCTACAATATGATGTGCAGCATCGGTCGTAACGCTCGTTGAGAATATTGGCTGGTACAATGTTGCAATCATAAAAATTGTATTACTTAAGTTCAGATGCTGCTCTGTTCACCAATTTTACACAGATGCTTCATACCACTCTTCAATTTGCTTGAATATCTGAACAATATTTAGGAAAATGGTAGTTTTATTCACCGGGAGTTATCATTGTTGAATACAATCGTTATCATTTTTACACCGGGAGTTATCACCGGTACGGTCATCAGTAAGATACGGCCACAATTTCCATCAGCAAATTACGGACCAGGCAATAAATCCAGCAGCTATCTCAATCAATCGTCAGTTATGGAAAGATCGGGTTCCAAAGGCAGAATCCCTTTGTCACGAAAAGTTCAAGAATGGGCAACAGGCCATGCATGGGCCTATTTCTTCAATACCGACACACTTCTATTCTATTCTATTAAATAAGACATTTAAATCTCCAGGAAAGAAGAATCAATGCCAAGAGCATACAATGTTTTTCAATTGATAGACTGTTGTTCTTATTCGATTGTTGAGAATCATGCTATGGTAATGCAGCAAGATTATTTACACTATTAAAACTTAATGCTCACTCTGAGCATTAAATAAAGCAAAAATAATTTATGTTACAGAGTGCTACATCTTTTACAAAATATCGCCTATATTAAGAACTCGCTTTGTTTTTAGCCACAGCTGCACATGCAAGAAACTCGTAAATTCTTAAATTATGTTGAATCTAGATGTGCCTGAAATAATTATTTTTATTCAGTAAGATCTTAACTAAATAGGCAGCAAACGTTCAGCAACAAATCAAAATTTTGACGTCCAAAATATCATGATGTGATGATCTTGTTGTACGTACGTATACGTGACTTTACCGCCTTGCCTCGGCCCCAGCGATTCGACAGCGTAAGCCGAGCCACTATTGGGCGAGACGGCCAATTTCTGCGCCAATACATCGTCAGCCTCGCACTTATCGCCAGTGGAATGTCTTTGATTTCTGACCAGATAAAAGACCTTGCTCTAATCCTTGCAGTTTTAGCCGGTATAGCTGCAGTTTATAAGAATCCTAATTTTTGATTTTCTATGTTTAGTAAAATTTTTCCAAACAAAAGTTTAATTGACGCAGTTCCCTCGACCTACGGCTATAGCATTCGTTTTTAGACCAAGATACCGATGCCTGTTGTGCCCCGTGGAACCCAGCTATTTGGTTCATTTGATTTGTACTGTATCTTTCATGATTGATTATTTGGTAAAAATGTCGTTATAATGTATTTATAAATTTTACCTTATCCTTCCTTATGTATATTTTGTCGTTGCTTTCTAGAGAGTGTATGTCGTAAAAAAAGTCGTTTCTTGTCCTGTCTTGTTTTCTTGTGGAATGTTTCCACAAAGAATATCATGGCAGAACGTCTCTTTGCACTCAGAATACTCTATTTAAACAATTTCAATTTCTCGATGGTAGTTCTGGTTGCATGTTCTACACTGAACTTAGCCTCGCGCTACCAATTTATTAACATAAAGTATTTTTCCGTGATACTCTCTACTCTCGTGCTGTGTAGCCAGGGTTGCACGGGGCACCTGCCCAGGGAGCTGTTCACCTACCCACCCGGGCTGGGTTTTTTATTGTTAAAAAACCCGGGCTTTTATATAAACACGTTAAGTAAAAAGTTGGTTTAAAATAAAATTTTAGAATGAATCAAACTGATTTTAAAGTTTTGAACATCAAAAGCAAGACTATTTGATAGAAGCTGCCAAAGAAATACATATTTCGCTTTCTTGAACAAAAACATTATCTCATATATGTACTGAAAACCTCTATAAAAAGTCTACATGGATTTGGATCCTAGAAAGTTCCACACATTATGAAGCTTTACAAATGACACAAGGTCCCCTATCTTGCTCTATACAGTCATTTAGGACCAATCACAGTGACATGATTTAAAAAAATTAACACCTGAAAATTCCTTCATATCAAAGCTAATTTTGTGATTTGTCTAAATTCTTAGCAATTTTTGCCACATCATTGCTGGAGAAAGAGTTTAAGTTAAATATCTGACATAAGTGAAAGCAGCAAGCTCTCTGCTGTTGACGAAAATGGAGTGAAAGGCAGAAGAGCTGCATTTTGTCACCTTGACAACCACTCACTAAGACGAGAGCAGCTCGATATTTTAGGCGTCAGCTTCCATCGCGGCTTCTATACATTTCTAGGAAACAATAGAAATGCATATAATCATCAGGTAAAAAGACTATGATCGACTACACAAGAAACCAAATAATCGACTACACACAATATTCATTTCGCCCGACGACCCTCTTTTGTATTTGCATGCATACATGTTCGCACACTGCATGATTCGATTAGATGCCCAACAGTTCCCATGTCCGCAAGAAGGCTTAAGCTTTTATTAAACTCTGGCTGAACTTTGATACGTTAGGCTTGTTTTTTTTCGACGCCTAGCACCATCATTTTAAGGCATTGATTTCATAAATTCATAAAGCCTCGTTTCGTTGCCAAGTATTGAATATTTATCATCATCTAAAAGACGGGTGTGGTGGAAGCGTAACTATTTCACAACAACAATATATTAGCCTATCTGAAGAGATGTACATGTACACGAATCGATAACAGTGTGGATTGACGTGATAAAATCTATTACGTGCACTTTAATATGCGACGCTCAATTAATTTTTATGGAAGGCTTGTAGATAGAACGAGAAAATGAATTAGACGTCTGCTGCATGTCAGGTATAAATGTTTGTATTTTATAAGCGCCAAGTTTTAAAGTTGTTCACAGGGTGCAAACTGAAACTGGCGAGGGAGCCAACACCGCAGGGCTTCGTGGACGTCCACACAAACGTCCTTCTCCACTCCCACGTTGCGATGTTGTGTCAGAGCTCATTATATTAAGCTCTACCTGAAGACTGGGTTACGTGACTATAAGGTCGAGGGGGATTTTTAAGACACATCTGTATGATAACATCTCTTATATACGGGGTGGTTAAACAGGAGTACGATACAGAGGTATAAGCTTACGGCGTCGACCGTAAGGTCGGAGAACTCAACCGACACGTTACATCGCGTTACACGTTACATCACGTTACTTAAGGTTGCTAGCCCTTATATAGCATTCGCTTCCGCCCACAACTAAGGTATTGATCGCGTGATCTATCACGCATCTTCCAGATTCTGACTCATGTCACTAATCTCTATCAGATCAAGTGAGTATTAAGTCTCAATTACGTTATAAAAATTGTTATAGTAAATTATATTCATTACGTCTCAATTAGTTGTTGATTATAATGAGACGTCAGATTGACACCGGACAGTTGCACTGGAGGACGCTTGCCCATTGAGAGGTCTGGGGTCTCTCGACAACGACGTTTTCATACAACATGCCCATATCATATCAACCAAAGTATGACGATCTATAATTGGTACTCGAAGTTTTCACTATGATTGTATCGCATAATATTTATTCCCTATCGCTTGAAATTTTGTCCTTTCTTCTTTGTACGATTCGTAAATGCTCTAATATTTGAACATGAAGAAAGACAGTATATATAGGCACCCCTCTCCACAGCATTGCAACATCAATTGCTTGCAAATTGTTCAATGTTTTATTGACCAAGCATTGTAGGATTTTCGAGATTTTTCATCAGATCATTTTATTTCACTATGTTTTCAAGTGTTAGGATACGTATTGAAAAATTATTTAGGGTTAGGTTAA